CCCCCCCCCCCCCCCCACACACACACACACACACACACACCAAGGAAGTCTACGGACCAATCAGAGGTAGAGTTGCATTTGGGTCCAAATAATCTGAACCGACCCGGCACCAGCCTGCTGTCATCATCTCCGAACCCTACCCAATCGATGAATTAATAGTTAATTACAGGTCCAAACTCGAACACCACCCCCCCCCCCCCCCCGACATTTTTAATTAAGCTTTGACTGATTATACCACCGACTATTATTAACGGTTGGCGGACATGCGCGGCTGAGGGGGCAGAAGATCAGAGCTGAGGTGCCGTCCATGCGCATTAAATGCTTCCCCTACTTCTGCCTGCATCCTGCTCTGACACGTCGGATATTTTGTGATCTCACCTGTTTGGGACATCTGTTGCGCGCGTCCGCTGAGTGCAGCGGCTGAATGAACGTCCATTTGGGCTGATGGATCGCTGGCGGATCGCTGGCAGTAGTCCATCTGAAACTTAATTGAACTTTTTACCTCTTTCAACCAATCGCCTGGTCAGAATCCAGGTCGGGCGAGGCCGGGCGGGGCCGGGCTCCAGGTTTGGGTTAGAAATGACAGTTCTAATCAGAGGGGCCAGGCTGAATAAACATTCTGTCATCATTTTAGGACTCTTTGGATTCTATCTGATGTCATCCTTGGCCATCCTTGGCATCCCCCGAGAATGTACGGCTCTCTCGAGAGGGAACTATGTACTGATTATACCACTCTTATCAGAACTCTTGCAGTGCCTCTGTGAGTTGTCTCTGGACATGTTCACTGCCTTTGCGTGCCCTCCCCCTGCAGAATGTCTGCGTCATTATGTGCTTATGTGCGAGGTATTTTTTCATCTTCAGGCTACTAATCTTCAGCCAAAGATTAAGAGCGTGTTAGGATTTTTTAATCTCTCTAAAACCTATGTTGTCACTTTCACCACTTATTGTCTGTCTAAAAAGGTCTCACTTGTAAATGAGTCTTCGAGGCTCAGTGTGATTTATCTGTTTAAATAAAGATTGAATGAATGAATGAATATTGTCAAAAAGTTTAATATTCTGAAAAGTATAAAAGTTAGAAAAAAATAAATTTATAGGACCAATCTTCTGAATAATCTGAATGCTTTAATAAGTAAATGGTTAAAATAGCATAAAGTATGCAGAAAAAGTTAGACTGCGAAGGCTGCACAGAAAATAGAAATAAGAAAAACAGTGAGGATGCTGAATCAGCAATCGGACGTTTACTTAGAGTCAGAACTGAGACAAAAGAAAGATGCACAAAATGATCGGAAAAATTTGAAAAATGTAACAGGAAATCATCATCAAGGCTATTAAAACTAGAATAAAGGACACAAAGGAGCCTCTGATCCACAGCTCACGCCTGTGGACTGAAAAAAGAACAGCTTCAGGTGAATGATCTCTGACCTGCTGGGACGTCAGCTGATGGAAATGACTGACAGGCAGGTAAGGCAGAAGCGGGAGAACAGAACTGAGGAAGTACGGTGGCCATGTGGGGACATCTCCCACCACCTTCGACTGCAGCAGGCGCTTCACAAAAGCCTTTTTCTGCAGCGACTTCATTTCTGAGCTGTGGTCACGGATGGCCGTCAGCCTGAGGAGCAACGCAGAAACTATCGGCGTGAGAGGAGAGAGACAATTTAAAATCACTTCTGTCTGATCTGCGCTGTCAGGAACTCACACGCTGTCGTTGACGATCAAGGAGGCTGGGAAGCTCATAATGTCAGAAACAGACATGAAAGGAATGAACTGCGAGAGGTCCACGAACAGCTCTGGGGTCACTCTGGGGAACTTATGGATGAAGGCAGCCGTCATTGTTTCCATGGCCTCTTGTTGGGAAGCCTGATGAAGAAAGCAAAACATGATGAAAAGCAAACACCTCCAGTTTGTCTCTCCTTAATCATGCACATTGGTGACTTTCATACAAATGAAGCAGATTTGCAATCAAATTAACTGCTTATAATGAAAAACATGTTACAAATTCCCCTGTTTTCATTTAGCAGTGTAAAATTAAACTGTTGCAATTAAAAAAAAAAAAGTCTATATTTAATCTGGGGTACAGACCTGGCTGGTTTCCACTTGCAGCTGGTCCCAACTTTGATGCATGTGGGAGATGAATCTCTTCACAGCATCTTTTTCAGCAGACATCACCAGAGAGCGAATGCTGTCTCTGGGCATCTGGAAGTACTCCTAGTTATAAAGTGATGTAAATGAAATGTTCAGTTAGTTGATTATTCTGTCAAAAAAAAAAACTAGCTGCAGAGGCCAGTACCTGCAGCAGAACCCTAAGAGTGGACGAGTTATTGTTCTGCTGGATGAGGTCCCACAGGATGGGCTGAAAAAGACCCAAAACAGACGGGTTATTCACTCATTTTTTGGGTCAGTGAACGTGTCACAGGTCTGTTTCTTACACTGAAGCAGCTCAGCAGGTCCTCTTTCAGGGAGGCGTTGTGCTCTTTCCGCAGAAAGACTCCCACAGTGTGCAGGACACTCGTGGAGGCCTCAGGCCGCAGCACGGTCCACGATGTGTTATCAAGCAGACTGGACAGCAGGATGGCCTGGCCCAGACCCTGCCTCGCCTCACGCTCCCCTTCATCCAGCCCAGAAGAAAGCCCCACCATGACATCCAACACACGCAGCAAATAACCCAGCACCACTAAAAACCCCTCCTGCTCTCCTCCTTCCATCTCACACACACTCAGCTTGTGCAGGAGGTCTGCCAGCAGCGGGGCGGGCTCCACACACAGCTGAGATGTGTCGAACTCATACCGTGCTGGGAGCATGTCAAAGAATCTCTGCAGGAAGCACTTCCTGCTTTCCTGTTCTGCTTGAAGATCTGCACAGACATCTGCAAGCAGAGGCTTTGCTCTTACCAGCTGATGGTAGAGAGCAGCAGTCATACAGATGTGCTCCCTCAGTCCCGGTGTCTGTCCACAGAGCTGCAGGAGGGTGGTGTTGGTGAAATGTTGCACAGACCAGTTCCTGTACTCGCAGGTCTGGCTGGAGGTGTCCTCAAAGGTGATGTTGTGCATCTTGGAGCAGTACGCTGCTGCCCAGCTGCCTTCTGACAGGGACTGCTGTGGCTCACACAGAGCTGAGACCAGGACTGAGTTGTTAGGCAGGAAGCAGTCTCTGAAAGCTTCAGCACTGAGGGACCTGGTGCCCAACTGGGACAGACAGCTCTCACTGTGTCCTGGACTTGCTGTTTCTTCTTCTGAAAGCTGCACACACAGGCTGTCAATACTTGTCTGGTTAAAAAAGTGATAATCCTTCAGCGCCGCAGCCTGAAAACAGTAAAAGCACAAAACTCTGAACAGGCCTTGAAAGACAACTTTCAAACAGCCGCTTATTAAAAATGAATCCTTTACCTGCTGCACTCTCTGCAGCCAGAAGGACGAGTTGGCACACACGGTGTTGTTGAATTCATGAGCAAAGAACTCACTGCAGACGTGGACCCAGAAGAAGTCCTCCTCAGCAGCGGACAGGTACCATTCTGCATCAGAGCACGTAGCGTGTAGGTCGAGCTCCAAATGAGTCACAGCTGGATTAGCAGAGCCATTCTCCCCTTCAAACAGTTTGCAATACAGGAATACAGTGAAGTTAGAGACGCCGCTCAAACCTGGGATGGATTCATTACACGCTGCCTCCAGGATCTCCGCGGAGGTGGAGAACTCCAGCTCTTTCTGCTTGCTGTTCCCATCTCTGAACTGCCAGCGAGGTCCAGTCGGGAGTTCCACAGTTTGCTTTTGTTTGAAGGTTCTCGAGTTGTGAAGGTTTGTGGAGGTTTGCTGAGGTGGTGGTCCCTGTGTTGAGGGGCAGGACAAAAACGGGAATGAACCAGGGAGGCCCTGAGAGCCCAAAGCCTGAGCGTTCCACATCACATTATGCCTTATCCCCCTGAAAAGGCACAAACAAAACCACGTCTGAAATGCAAATTTATTTCCAGATTCAAACACAGCTGTGAAATATCTTACCATAAGATCAAGTGTCTCAAGTCCCCTTTAAAAAGACAAAGAAAGAAGCAAACGTTTCAGAATCAGAACGAACGAGTCGTGGAAGTAAAAACAGACTCCCGCCGTGCACAACTACTGGTGGTATAACAGAGCAGCTCAGCTAACAAGAGCCAAGCTATAAAGTTACTGACATCAATGAGAGGATAAAGGGATTAAGTGAGCAAACAACAGAAGCTTTCACTGCACTGAATGATTATAAAGATTTTAAAGCAGTGTCAGTCAGTGTCATGTTCTCTCCTGTGTGAAAGTCAAACTGATCAGGAGTAGAATACCTTAAATACAAACGGGCACAAATTGTGCTTGATTTAATCTGAGCCAGTGTGAATGGCACAATAAACTACATTGAGCAATTTTTACGAATTATAAATATCAAAGTTATCAGATTATGTATTATTATTATTGATTTGTGATTGTGTTAGAAGTGATTGGCCCATCTTCCCCTCAAACTCACCGACTGAGCACCGGCCTCGTGTGTTGGGCCCGTCCACCAGGCTGCTGACATCATCAAGCAGCGCCACTGTGACTTGAGACACCTTCTTCCTCAGGTTACCGTACACAGAGCTGCCCACCCTGTGCAGAACACCCCGCCTCAGCCCGTCCAAACTCTGAACAAGAGCTAAGTTCTTCTGAGGCAAACCACCTCCACGCTCACCTCCACCTGAGCGGGACAAAGCCTGCAGCAGGAGGCTTTGCATGGAGTCCGGCTCGTCCTCTGTGGCCATCACGTCTTCTGCAGATGCGTTGGCAGATGACCAATCCTGTCTCATGGCTTCAGGGGGCATGCTGAAGGGCCTAAAACGTCCAAACGTGCCCTTACTGTACCCAGCAGCTTCCCCTGCTGGATGCAAACTGACCACAGGTTTCCAGTTACGTGTTTCCAGGAAGTGCAGCAGCTGCTGAAACCAGCTGACACTGAAGGTGCAATCATTACGACCCTTCAGGGCGCAGATGAAGCCCTGCAGGCCTGCACTGGCCTGACCATACGTCCCACTGATTAGAGCCTGAAGTGTAGCTTCCAGCACAGCACTCACGGTCCTCCAGTTCTGAGACAAGAAAGTCAGGAGGGGCCTGTGGGGCTGGCGCTCTGACAGAGTGATGAGACTCTGCAGCAGCCCCAGGAACCAGTCCCAGTGTGGGCTGCCCCTCAGGGACAAAAACCAGTCCTGCACTTTGACGCTGGGTCGAGGCGGGACGCGGCCGTTCCACTGGTTCAGCGCAGCATTTCCTTCAGACTGCAGAAAGAAATGCAACACCTTCTCCCAAAGCTGCTCCTCGTCCGGCTCCGAGGGCAACTCCTCCAGCTCAGCTCCCATCTCCTGGAGGTACAGGGAGATGTTGTAGAGGAACCCAGACAGACGACGTCTGTCTACCGGCTTGTTCAGTGAAGGCAAGTTCTTGTTGGGGAAAAGCGTTTTTAAGCCCCCAAGGATATTCCTCATCCAAGAGGGGAACGACTGGTCCTCGTGTGTTTCTGGTGGGGGTCGGTGTGAACCCAAACTAGCACCTTTACTCCATTTTGAAATGATCTCCTTGAGGATAGCATCTCTCTGGTCCACTTTATCACTTCCTGAAACAAAACCATTGGGGACAGTTAGAGTTAGAGAGGAGCTGTGATCTTTAGGACCATATGTTCTGGTGGAGAACTCACCTGCCCCCTCAGGTGCTCCTTGTCCAAGTAAAACCAAACAAACAATGACGCCTGTCAGATTACGAGAGGCCATTCTTGACCCTTTCTTCACCATCGTCATCTCATTCCAGAGTGCGTATTGAAAAACTGCCGTCACATTTTTGCCTTTGGGCTTTTAACCCTGTTGATATAATAAAAATGTAAATGCATGCAGCGCTGTTGCTTCAGTAAACTATTTTAAATCTGATAAAAAGAGAAGGTGACTCATTACTGCAGGCAGAATGTGTGTGACCACTTTGACACCATGTGATACACAAAGTATTCACAATGTAATTAGGTTTACAAGCTACAAGTCTGAAGTTTAGTAAACGGTAGATTAGTCAGTTTAAGGTATTTTAAATAGTTATGACAATTTCTTACAAAGTCAGAAGCATAAATAAGTGAGCTCACCAGCAGTTCTGATCCATGTCTGTCTTTAAATGTTTGCAGGTCTCTCCTTAAACGTGTTGCTGCCATCACGCTCTGTGCTGACCTCCGGACTGGCTCTCGGTTTCACCGTGGCTCTGACTTTCTCTACCTTTCACTCTCTTCTTGCACCCCTCCCACCACTGCTGGGCGTTTGGTTTTTTTTAAGGTTTGAGGCTTGTTTTGTTTTTTTAGTCAGTGTGGCTTCAGTATTCAAAATTATTTCACTTTGTGATTTTTGCCTCCTAGCACGCACAAAGACATGGGGGTGTGATGAGGCCTAATAGTTGTTCAGAACGATCTCTGTTGGATGACTATTGGATTTGACATCCACACCTCCAGATGCAGGAAGACGGCCACCTGCATCATGAAGGACCCCACTCATCCAGCACACACACTTTTTGTCCCACTCCCCTCAGGCAGGAGGTTGAAGAGCATTAAGTGTAGAACCACTAGGCTGAGGAACAGCTTCTACCCTGAGGCTGTTAGACTCATGAATCTCTAACCAGGATCATCACTATGGAAAAAAAAATCACCGTAATGCCATTTTGATTGGTGAAATGTGCTGCTGATTATCCACGCTGCTGATCTCACGCTGCTGATCTCATGCTGCTGATTATGTCATGCTGCAGTGTTCATTTGTACTCATCTACTCACACGGACTCATGTTCGTGCTGCTGTTGTTTGGCGTATTGTTTGGCTCCATTAGTGTTTAGCGCATTTCTTAATTTATATTTTGGATCCTTATTTACTGTTTCTTTTACAATTTACATTTTTGCTATTGTTGGATGTAACCGGGACCCTGTGAACACCATTTCATTTCACCTCATGTACCACATGTGATGCGGTGGACAATAAAACCAACTTGAACTTGATTTGATTTTTACAGTTTTGGGGGGCAGCTACAGGAAGGTCACAGGCTCTCGGTTTGAACGAGGTGAAAATCTGGATCATATTAATTACGCCCAGGACATCTCCGCTGTTCTCGAACTGTCCAGTGTCTCTTGCTGACTAATTTTTCATTGAGCTGGGACTCATCTTATCACACCAGGTTTGTTGGGGGGGGGGGGGGTAGTCTTACCAAAGGGGCCAGATCAGGACTGTGCAGTCTGCCACGGTTATCCTCGAGTCGAGCAGACTTACAATTAAGCCTTGTGCGAGGGCACAGGAGCGGGCTCCCCTGAGTCAGACCACTGTCTGCAGCCCCTGAAACCAAAGAAGGCTAAGTGAAAGGACGCCCCCCCCACCACCACCACCACCACCACTCCGATACTGTGGCCTGCACAGCGACAATAAGTTCCTCCTGTATTATTGATGCCACAGGGAACAGCAATCACTCAGTGCAGCGGGGCTCAATTCACCATGGGAATAGTCAATGAGAAACCAGATCTGCCCCGTTCGTTCCTCCTCTCTCGGCTGGAAACTCTGTCGGAGCAGCGAGGAAATCATCTGCTGAAAATGGCTGTTGAGATTGGAATATGTGCTTTATAAAGTTTTACAACTTTTAGCCTCATTTCTCAACAGAAAAGATTAAAGGACCTGAAATGAGTGGGAGGGTTTAAACTGGTGAGTGTATCTTTGTAGAAGTCATTTAAATTTGTTTGATTAGGTAATAACAGTTTGATTTGAAGAACAGGCTCTGAAACTCTGCAGCCGCCGGGAGTTTGGATTTGAATACTGGTGAAATGTGATCGGATCGTCATGCGAGTCCAAGTTCAAGACAAACTGAATCTTCACAAACCAATTCACGCACATAAATGTGTTGTTTACGTCCTTAAAGAGCACAAATGTCTGAATTCATGATCAACCTTCCTCCAGCAGATGCGTTATTTTTCACATATATTTATATAAGGTTTTTGGAAAACACCTTCGTTCGTGACTCTGCATCTCATTCAAGTTGGTCAAAATCCTCTTTAAGACATACTAAATAAACATTTTACTGTTGATAAACCAGTGAAATTTGATTTAATTGCTCAGTTTTTCATAACATTCAGGACAAGAATGTATATCCTGAAATTGGGAGGTAGCCACACCATGACTCGTCCCCCGCCGTGTTTCACAGCTGAAATGTGCAGCGCCTTTTCCCTGCTTTAAAAAAGAAATGTGTAAATTCACAAAGGCTCAAAAATGCTAAACTTTCTGGGATCTTAAAACTGCTGCTGATCAGGTCTTAAAATCTTAAAGAACAGGTGTTTCAAATCATATTCAATTGGAGCACTACAAAAAAAACCCTGTGCTTAATTTTTTTTTTTTTGCAGATAACAAGGACGCAAAGCATGAAAATACTGCAATAAAATAAAAATATAATATATATTTATATATATAACAATAAAATGAAAAATATATAATTGTATATAAATATTATATATGATTATATATATTAAAAATAATATAAATAATAGAAAATAAAATTCCTTCTGTAACAAGAACATAAATGTAAGAGAGGGTGGAAGGTGTAACACTATGACTGGTAGGCTTCAGTTTGACCGTCATTTAATATTTTTTAACTTCACTTATTGCTGTGACTCTCGGTGAGGCAGATTATTATCACACCGCATTAATACTAAGATATATAAATAAATAAATAACTGATTGAATAAAATGCCATTTTTGGGATTATTGCTCGACCTCACAATGAGTCGCATCCAGAGTAAATTTAAAATCCCATTTTATTGCTCATTGATGACATCATGCTTTTATAATTTATTTGATCTCTGCTTCTACTAAAAGTCCAGAAAGTTTTTTGTCTTGTGACATTAGTCATATAATCACGTTTTTTAAATAAAATTTTAAAAAAGTTGACTTTGCTGGTAGCCAAACTTTTCAAGCTTTAAAGCAGAATTTCACTGAAAGAAAAAAAACAAATATTTGTGAAGAAGCTTTAAAATGATTCACGCTTTCCCGCTTTGAAAGTGAAAAATGACCTTGAGTTCAATAAAAACCAGAAGAGGACACAAGAAAAGAAAAATATGTTTAAATTTTTCTACAAGCCGTTATTATTTGAACAAATATTCACGAGGTCGGAGGTCGAAAACGACATGTTTTTTTGCAGGTAGATTTTTTTTCAAAAGATAATCATTTTATATTTTCTTTCTGGTCTATACAAATGAATGTTTGGAGTGAAAGAGTTATTATAAAAAATAAATAAAGCGTCATTCGATGAGTCGTTTTTGTTGTTTTGTAGGGCTGATCTCCACCTTTAGAGGGAAGCGTGAACTAAATGTAATTTAAAATGTTGTTTTCTCTTGATTCTGACTCCAGCTCGGAATTGTAAAGAAAACAAAACAATACTTGTAATTAAACTTAGTTGATTACTGATTATGCACATAGGATAAAGCATAAATCACAGCAGCATGCGAGTTTCCAACACAAGCAAAACAGGATTTTCTGTATTTTAACTTTTTGACTCCTTCCACTGTCAAATCTACGTTGTTCTTCCTTGATCCTCATGAGACCATATCCACGTAGGAGCTAAGAGCTCTTCACTTTGTTTCAGCAGTTTGCAGCAAATCCTTACGATCCTATGGGACACACATTGTTTGCATTTAAACAAAGGTACAAAATACACAGATCATCATGACGACTGGAGGTAACTGTAGAAACCAGATTTCTAAAGGTACCGTATTTTCTGCCGTACAGGTCGCACAGCCCTATAAGTCGCATCAGTCCAAATATGTGTAACAAAGTTGAAAAAAAAAAATCCATAAATATGTCACTTTGCCATATAAGTCGCATCTATTATGCGTCTCCGCTGACGCGCCGTGTTTGTTACGCGTCGCCGCTGACAACCCGGAAATATGTGCCGGTGTTGTGCCAAGAATCAACTGGCTGCCAAATGGCAGCTGCGGGAGCATGAACAGGAGGACTTTAACTAGAATTTAACAAGATTACACTTAAAAACAATTATTTGTTTTCTTGAAATTATAGAAAAGTTGCGTCTCAGTCTAACGTGTGCTTATTAAATGCACTTTGATGGTCAAATCAGCTGCATTTTGCCGGGGCGGCGCAGCGAAACGAAGCTTACAGTATGTGGTTATTCCAGGCAGACGACGGTAGCAGACTATGGCACTTTTACCTATTACATGATACATCATCATCATCAACTTTATTTATAAAGCGCTTTAACACCAGCCACAGCTGAAACAAAGTGCTGAACATCAATTCAAAACAAGATAAGAGAAAGCATAAAAACAAAGCTACAAAGCTAAGCACACAATGAACTAAAAACTCAATTTAAAACTTGGTTTAAAACACAATAAAATGACGAGTTAAACCGATAAAATCAATACCAATAAAAATGAAGTAAAATCAAGTCTCAGTTGGGTTGAAGGCCAATGAGTGGAAATGAGTTTTCAGATGGTTTTAAAAATGGACAGTGAAGGGGCCTGTCGAATGTGCAAAGTCAGAGCGTTCCGTAACTTAGCGCCACTAACAGAGAAGGCCCTGCCTCCTCGAAGCTTCCTCGTACTCTTGGGAATGACCAGAAGCAGCTGGTCAGCAGACCTGAGTGACCAAAGGGGAGTGTAGTGGTGGAGAAGCTCATTAATAAGGTGGGGCAAGGCTGTTTAAAACCTTAAAAACAAGCAAAATAATTTTAAAATGAACTCTAAAATACACGGGCCGCCAGTGGAGTGAAGCCAGGACATGGGTGAAGTGCTCTCTTTTATGTGTTCCCGTTAAAAGATATGCAGCAGCATTTTGCACCAGCTGCAGACGTGTAAGTGAGGACTGGCAGACTCCGAGATAGAGGGAATTACAGTAATTCAGCCGTGATGAAATGAAGGCATGGATTACTGTTTCAAACTGTTGCCTTGAAAGAACAGGCACAGCAGCGTGCCTTAATACTCGAGTCCATCTAGCGGCTGAAAATGGCAGTGTTCATTTTTTTTCAATCAGAATGAATGAAATCGGTCATAAATTGGTTTATAAATATGGGAAAAATCCATAAATACGTCGCTTTGGTGTATAAGTCGCAGGGCATGTAAATTATGCAAAAAATTGACGTATACAGCAAAAAATGTGTTATTTAAAGATCCTGATGGTAAAATTCTAGGTCTCGAGGTTTTCCCACAAAAAAAAAATATATATACATATATTATAAATGTAAATAATTCACAAGGAGTGAATCTCCAGCAGTACCTCCATTTTGTTTGTGAGGCCAATGAGGGCGGCGTGGTCCATGTTGGGAGCTGAGAGCACAGACTGGAGCTGAGCCTCGACCTCCTCCAGACGATCCTTCACGGTCTGAAGCTTGCGCTCCAACAAAACATTCGGCAAATCTGCTTCATGCTGCTTCCTCAGAACATTCTGCTCAAATGACCCCAACAGCTCGTCCCGCTCCAGCTGAAGCTGCACCAAATATGAAGAGACACACAAATGTTTAGAAGGGATTGACATGAAATGCGCTTTTATTTTCATTTTTAGTTTGTACCTTGCTGAATCTTTGTTCCAAAACCCCGTGATCCGCTTTCAGGTCTTTCAGGACTTTTATTTTGGGGTTTTTGATCTTTTTCTGTTCAAAACAAACAAAAAAGGGGAACAAAATAAAACGCCCTGCGCAAATTTTCTTCAACGAGACGCTGCTTAATGTTGAATTAAATTAAATAATTAAAAGAAAGAACTACAAAAATCGTTTAAAAAAATCACCTCGGAGCAGAATTTTGCTTTCTTCTCCAAGTAAGCGGTTTCCGTCCTGACTTTAGTCAGAAGCTCAGTAAGATGAAGGTTTTCCTGCAAAACAGACTGCGTGTCCTGCGTCATCTTCCTCACTTCCAGCTTCAGTTTAGGGATTTCTTCCTAGGATGTCAACAAAACAAGTCACATCTAAATAAAAATTACAGAACAAAAAAAATTGAGTGTGCAATTCTGCAGTTAAGCTGCAACCTAAAGTTCTGCTCTATATCCATCTGAGTCAAATCTGAAGGTTTTTCTAAAGCTGACCGTTTAGAATCAAATACTAAAGTAAATCATCAAAACAAGAACTTCTCTTGAAAGAAACTATTCGTGAAAACAAGCAGCTGGATGAGCTGCTGGTCACACATACGTTGAGTTCATCGATGGCCTCAACGTCCTGCTTCAACTTGAAATTAGCCTCCGTGGTGGTGTCCCTGAAGAATTTGTTGTGATCTTCTGTAAGATCCACGATGTGGCTTTTCCACTGCAGCTCTCGCTCGCTGCACTGATTATCCGTCATCATCTCCTGCTCTTGTTGCAGCATCTGCATCTTTTCCTCATATTTGGCTGTAGTTTCTAATCAAACAAGGACCCCAAAAAATATATATATAGCTCAGCAGATTTCTGAATGCATGAGAAGTTGGGTTAATGATCCTTCAACACTGATGACCACACCATTCTCCTTGAAAAACTTAATAAATATGGCATTAGAGGATTAACACTACAGTGGGTATCCAGTTATTTGAATATTAGGAGACAGTTTGTACAGGAAAATTATATAAAATCTGAATTTTTTGTTAATGGAAGTGGAGTTCCTCAGGGCTCTGTGTTGGGTCCAAAGTTGTTTATTTTGTATGTGAATGAACTGGTTGAAGTGTCAGGGCTTTTGAAGTGCATTTTATTTGCAGATGATATGATGATTTTTTTTGTTCAGGAGAAGATATTGAACGGACGTTAGAGACGATACAGGCAGAATTCGTAAAAATACAAACTTGGTTCCAACTTAATAAGTTATCATTAAATTTAGGAAAAAACAAACTATATTTAGTAATAGAAAGAACATTTTCCAAGTCCCATTTAAAATAGACAGAATTGAAATTCATAGAGTTAATGAAATAAAATTTTGGGGTGTCGTTATTGATGAGAAGCTGACATGGAAATCTCGTGTAAATTCCTTGAGAATAAAAATAGCAACATCAATTGCATTACTGTATAAAGTAAAAAAAAAAGAGTTTTTGAATGACAAAGCTTTGTATATATTGTTTAATGTAATGATTGTTCCATATTTAATCTATTGTATTGAAGTTTGGGGAAAAGCATGCAAAACAATTACAAACCCTATTTTTATTTTACAAAAAAGCTATAAGAATTATTAGTAGGAAGTGCAATGGTCACCCAACAAGTATATTATTTAATCAGCTGAAATTATTAACATTTTATGATTAGGTTGAAAATAGCATTTTACAAGTCATGTATAAAACTCATTTAAAAAAATTACCCCCAAAAATTCAGTTAAAATTTGTTTAAAAAGAAAGTCATTATAACCTTAAGGGATTGGAAATGTTTGTACAACTTCCATTTAGAACTAGTCTGAAGGAGCTGCGTTGTAATTCAGGGAACACAATTGTGGAATTGCCTCGATATCACCAGAACATTTTCTAAAACAATGCATATGTTTAAAAAGATGATTAAGTTAAAATTGTTGGGAAAGTATGGTGCCATGTGAAGGATGCCTGATGTTTTTTGTTTTCACTTTTGAGATTGTTCAATCCTAAGTTGTTGTTTGTTTGTAGTTATTATATATATATATATATATATTTTTTTTTTTTTTTTTTTTAAATAAGGGGCAGATATCATAAGAATTTTCTTCTTCTTTCTGCACCCTTTTCATCCAGTTTTTTATGGATTTGTTTTGTTTCTTTTAATTGAATGAATAAATAAAATAAAAATAGGGCATTTACCTGTAAATAGCCTCTCCAGGTTGTCCCTGGTTGCAGCCATTTCTTCCTGGTGTTTCTGTTGAAAAAATGTTCAAAATGATGTTTGTACAAGTGGTATTGCTTTTATATCATTGATTGTGTGTTATTAATTGCATCATTTCTCATTGCACTGTTGGTGCAACGACAGTAATTTATTAATTCAAACAAAAATACAGATGAACGTCTGTTAACGACATTGATGGGAGTCTGACTAGACACACCCAAAATAACAACAAAGAAAAGTCTGCATATGAAAATAAGACCAAAAGCATTAATTGGCGACAGATTTGGAACACAGATGTGTTGGCAGAATTGATGTGGCTTAAAGGCAAGCCTTTGTTAAAATAAATAAAATGTGTAGGACAAACCAGCTCAAGTTCCTTGACTTGATTTTCATAGTCCGAGCCATGCATGTCTACCATGATAGCCCTCATGCTGTTAGAAAGCTCGTCCTCCAGCTCATCCTGCTCCTCGTGCAGCGTGTCAGCGGTGACCAAACGGGCTTCTTTCAGCTCAGAGACTGTGTTCTGGTGTTCACACAGGAGGTGCTTCAGCTTCTGCTCGTACACCTGGTGACAAAGAAACAAATCGTCAAAGATACAAAACTGTAAAGTCAATTTATTCATCGTTTTTGCCTGCATGTATGCTGGAAAAATATGCTTTGTGTGACATTTAAAATATGCCTAACCTTTATGTTGCTGTGTTTTATGGAACTGGCTTCAGGATTATTAAAAAATTGTTTTTTGTCAATTCTAAGCAAAAAACTACTAAAACGTACGTGATCATTAATGGGCTTTAAACATATTCAGTATCTTGCCCTGCAAAGTTTGATCAACTCAATGCTGTTTGAGTCTGAGGCTTATCGTCACTGTGCTGAAAAGACTGTGACACTAAAAGTAATAAATAATAATAAATGCGTCTGATTTGTGAAGAGCTGTTCAGCCTTATCACAGCTGAGTCAATAAATGTACGTAGAATTTAAACGGATATTCAGTTTCATATACATTGTTCTGTAACAATCAGTTTGTATCTTGCAACTTTCATTCAACCTTTATTTTCACAGGTTAATCTTATTGAGCCACGAGGACTCATTTACAAGAGGGACCTGATTTTAGCAAACAGTGATGACAACACTAGACAATCATAAAAAGCATACAAATTGAGAATAACAAATAAAAGAAAATGATATTTAAACTAGATAAACAAAAGCAGCTACATTATAAAGTGATGTAAAATACTAAAAACAGGAACATGTCCATTGGTTTTTGCCATGAACTTAGATGTTTGAAGCCACTTATTAGAGAGGTCAAGGTCGAGCGCTTCAGATCTTTTTGCAAGATATTCGAGGAAACAGGAGCAGAGTAGGAGAAGGCCCTTTTGACTAGTTCAGCTTGAAAACTTGATGTGATTGTGTCATTATTTCTAGTTTTTGTCCTGGTCAATAAACTTCTGACATTAAATATGAACTTGGAGTAAACCCTTCCTTTAAATCTGAATGATCGTGTGTTCACCTTACTTCGTTCTCGACTCGATAACGTTCATCGTCCTCTTCAGCGGCCCGCTCCAAGGTTTTCAGCTTGGCCCTGACCTCCTCTAGTTTGGTTGCAGTGATTTCCCTCATAGAGTGGTACTTGTCCCTCTCCAGCTGGAAGAACTTTCTCTCCTCCCTCTCTCTGTCCAGCTCCTCCTGAAGGCGAGCAATGTGCTCCATCATCTGAAAATACAGCTTTATTGTGGACAGAGCATATCGGTGACAACCAGTGATGTACAAATCATCCAGGGCAGGGTTTTTAGGGTTTTTAAACCAAACGGTTGGATTTATTTCCTGTGTGTTGAAGACAGTTTTGATACTACCGTAATCTGAAGAGCTTTCCAAATGATTCTGGGGTCTTGGAAAATTTCATCAAGATTTTCTCCTCGTGAATTTCCAACTAAACAGGATCATCGGACAGAACTTGATCCACATTAAGACTAAAACCATCAAATATGGAGTACTCTATTAGGGCTGGGTCATATCATATCGTTCACGATAATAACGGTGAAAAAAATGGCTTGCCCGGGAAAATAAATTATATCATGGTATGCTAATTTCATGACGTAAATACGTCAGTGTCTCCCCTACCATTATACAAGCGGGGTGCCCCACCCCATTAACAGAACCGAGCGCGCCGAACTGCACGTCCACCTACTTTGAGATTGAATACTTTACTAAATAAAGTAATTTCAGTAAAATTAACCCATGTTTTTTTTTTATAGTTTTTATATAATACTGCAAAGCAACATGTTGGTATCGGATGCTGTGCAGCTGGAAGGATTTTTACTGAAACTTTTTTTAGTTTTGGACATTTGTTATGATGCGTAACCATGGCAACAAGGCAGTTTTCTACAACAACAGCAGCTGAATAACATCTCAAAAGCTGAAATAATATCTCAACTATGGCCCCAACTCTCAAATGAGTTGAAAAGGATGTTCTATGGACGCATTCTCATCTACCTGCCAGCTGTGCTCGAGTGCCTGATCTCTGAGATCCTGGAACTAGCAGCAAATGCGGCTCATGACAGTGGAAGGACAGGATCGTCCCTAAGCACCTACAGTTGGCTGTCCGCAGCGACGAGGAGCTCGGCAGACTTATGGGAGGAGTGGCCATCGCTCTGGGAGGAGTTCTGCCCAGCATTCAAGCGGTCCTACAGCCCAGGGGAACCAAGAGGCCAGCCGAGTCTGGGTGGACGGATTGAACAGCATCTGCAGCCAGTTTCTTAGGATCCACTGTGGGATGGACCTTTACAAGAGATCCTTCCTGTCTACAGCCATCAGCATCTATAACATCTCTTAATGAAATGAGGATAACGAGTTACAACAACAAAATTAAAGCTGCAAGCAGCGTTGAAGGCCCTCGCAGCTAAGCGCCGCTGCGGCCTCATGGCGACCGCGGGAACTCGAGCTACTCTTCCCGGTCGCCATTGAGAACGCTCACGCTACTGTCACGCGCCCATTTTCCGGAGTGCGCATTCACAGAACCTTTAACATCAGCTGCAACAGCATATATAACAACTGTAATAATGTAGGGGGCGCACTTGAGTCAAATAATAAACAACAACACCACTGTGTCCATAAGTCGTCACTAATCAAGCACCAAAAATCTGGTACAGATCAGACGATATATCACTGAGATATAACAGTTTGATTTATGTAGAGGGCGCACTTGAGTCAAATATTAAAGAACAACACCACTGTGTCCATAAGTCCTCACTAGTCAAGCACCAAAAATCTGGTGCAGATCGGACGAAATATCACTGAGATATAACAGTTTGAATAATCTAGGGGGCGCACTTGAGTCAAATATTAAACAACAACACCACTGTGTCCATAAGTCCTCACTAGTCAAGCACCAAAAATCTGGTCCAGATCGGACGATATATCACTGAGATATAACAGTTTGATTTATGTAGGGGGCGCACTTGAGTCAAATATTAAACAACAACATCACTGTGTCCATAAGTCCTCACTAGTCAAGCATCAAAAATCTGGTGCAGATCGGACGATATATCACTGAGATATAACAGTTTGATTAACCTAGGGGGCGCACTTGAGTCAAAAGTAAAACCACCATACCATTGCGTGTTTAAGTGCTTACTTATCACACACCAAAAATATGGTCCACATCGGATGACATATCACTGAGATATAACAGTTTGAATAATCTAGGGGGCGCACTTGAGTCAAATATTAAACAACAAAACTAAAATGTCCATCAGCTCTCAGTAATGATGCACCCAAAATCTGGTCCAGATCGGATGACATATCACTGAGATATAACAGTTTGAATAATGTAGGGGGCGCACTTGAGTCAAATTTTAAACAACACTAACAATGTGTTTAGACATGGTCACACATTATGCCATAAAAATCTGGTGCAGATCGGATGATATATCATTGAGATATAAGGGTTGGAATATTATAGGGGGCGCTCTTGAGTCAAAAGTTAAAAAACATTACTAATGTGTCCATCAGGGCTACTTAATAATATACCAAAAATCTGGTACAGATCGGATGATATATCATTGAGATATAACTGTTGCAAGATTGTAGGGGGCGCTATAGAGTCAAAATTTAAAAAACATTACTACTATGTCCACCAGGGCTAAATAATAATACACCATAAATTTGGTGCAGATCGGCTGATATATCACTGAGACAAAACAGTTTCAATAATGTAGGGGGCGCCCTTGAGTCAAATATTAAACAACAAAACTAAAATGTCCATCAGTTCTCAGTAATGACACACCAAAAATCTGGTTCAGATCGGATGTTGTATCACTGAGATATAACTGTAAGAAGAATGTAGGTGGCGCTGTGGAGGTTCTTGGCCACTTATCATGGAAACCTGTTCAGAGGTGGATAATGATCAATCATAGTGATTTTGGTTCACCTGGGCTCAAATCTGTGCAATTTAGAGCCAAACGTATTGCAACGGCGTCACTT